TTTTTTTTTTTTTTTTTTTTTTTATGGTAGCTTCCATTTTGGGGTTTTCGTTTCCTGATCGTGACCCTCATGTTGTAGAGATGCAGTTTAGCCAACGCTGTCTGACCGCCCTTTGGACATCTCTAGTTGGATGTTTCCCAGGCATCTCTACTTGAGCATGTTCTAAACGGAATTCTTGCTCTGCCTCCCTCAAATGGACCAGTCCCTCCCCGGTGCTCTGTGTATAAGTAGGTGGGAGCACCCTCCACACATCTGCTCAAGCAGCAGTCCACGCATCATCCTGGACCCCTTCCTCTGCCTTCCCCTGTGCATCTAAGCTATGCTCAAGTTCTCCCTCGTAAATGTATCTGTCTCCTTCTCCATTGGCCTTTACTTAGCAAGAATGGCCATCTTTTAAAATTTTTGCTCAATAATAATCATTTTGTAAAACACAAATCTGGTCATGCCTTTAGAGTGAAGTTCAGAAATCATTATCATGGCCCCATATGATCTCTCCCTTCCCTACCCTCCACTGTTTATTTTCTCCTGCACAGCTGCTCTGGTTTTCCTTTAGCCCTTTGGTACTTTTCCCAGAGCTCAGTGGTTCTCAACCAGCACCCCCGCCTTTTTATTTTTTTTAGTGACAAATACTTTGTAACATCCGTGTTAGGGTCCTCAAAATGCAGTTCAGTGGTAACATACTCTACCTACACACAATTTTAGGAATACATTTAAAATTAATAATATAAAAGGAAAACAGAAAGTACATAACTTGAGCACGACTATATGAGAGGACCTAATTAAGTAGTCAGATGTTTACATTTACTTGCAATGAATAATTTGAACTTAAAAAGAAGGTAGGAGATCAGAAGCTATTTTGTACAAAGAAGTGTGGGATAATGAAACAGCAGGGATACAAGTGATATAATAACTTATTTGCATATGCTAATACAAAGAAAAACTAGTGATACAATAATTTATTTGCATATGCTGATACTTATTTCTGTAAGAACACCTTAACTGAAATAAAGATACTATGCAAGAAAATCTACAGATTGTCGAAATGGAGAATATGAGGACATGGATTTTTGCAGACGAGCTGTAGGTCATACACGAATGTCTAGTGAGACATTCAAAATTCGTACAGGGTGCAGAGTAACTCCTTACTGTGAGGAGCTGTCCGATGTATTGCAAAATGTTCAGCATACTTGGCTCTCACATACTAAATGCCAGTAGCACCCTCCCCTCCCCTCCCCCCCGTGATGGTGACAACCACAAACCCCGTCAGCTCTAGTTACCTTTTTCAGAGCAGATAGTTTATAACACCCCCTTCGCTGTCCTGAGATGATTCAGAGATAATGCCATCTACTTACATGCATTTCTTGAAAACTCAATTTACTGCCCTAACTCTATGATAATGGAGAAACAGGAGGAAAGAAGTTTGTAATAAAAATAAACTGAATTTCAATATGTAAATGCTCCGGCATGACTACGCTATACGACATCATGAGATATTTACTATCACGTAGAGTGAAAAGGTTTGGATTTAAGAGTCGATCAGAGGCTTCTTCCTGTAGAGAAGTACAGGAAAGTGAAAGGTAAGAGGTACAGGTAACACTAGAATGAAAACCAGTGTTAGGGTAAGTCATGACACACCATAGATCTTATCTGTATATGGTAAGGGAAAGAGTGAAATCACCTTACTTTAAGGATACTAGGACAAGACAACTTACAGATTGTCTAAGAGGAAAACACTTATGTTCTCTCAGGCGAGCTGTAGGTTCTACATAAATGTCCAGCAGGACATTAGAAAGTCGTATAGGTTCAGACTAATTCTTCGTTGTGTGGGGCTATCCCACACTGCAGGACACCCGTCATCCCTGGCTGCGTCCCGAGTGCCAGTTATAGTTCCCAGTTATGAAGCCAACAACCCAGCCGTTTCCAGGACATCACTGGTGAGAACTGTCGACTCCGTTAACGTCTAGCATCTTGAGATTAGCTTCTCTGCCCCCATAAGGAGTCCTAGAGATTAGATTGGATGCTTGTCTCCCACATCCCTCATTTTTAAAATACTTTGTGCCTTGCTTGGTTCATTGTTTGCCTCTAGCCAACTGGAGGTTGCCTGCTTTCCGCGGTAGAGTGTAAGCTCCTTGAGGGCCCAGCCAGCCTGCCTTGGTCGCTGCGCCAGACCCGTGAATGGCTAGCTGAGTGCTTCATACGCTGGTAACATAAACTTTGTTTGAATAAAGCAAGCTCGAATATTTGTATTTCAGTAGTTGAGTTGTATCTCTTGTTAAAGATCAATTTGTGACTAATAAAAAGTAAATACGAATTTTGCTCTGCTGCCTCTATTTGCTTTATTTCTAGGTATCTCCTCAAGACAGTCAACTGCAGACACCAATTGATTCAATGAGGGACAGAGAATGTGCTTTTGTCCCACCCGCTTTATCACTCCAGGACTCGGGGACCACGGAGTCTTCGGCACACCGCCAGGGGAAGGCAGGGTGGGGGTGATGGAGAAGCCAGCCGTCAGTTGGCACATCTTTTGTTTTAGGGATACAGAGAGGGAGAGGCTGGAAGCTGCTAAGACACCTTTCTTCCAGTGCGGTCAGGGGTGGGACCGGGGCCAGGCTGAGGCACCAAAGTGAAAAATGTAAATAAATGGTCATCAGAATTTCCCTAACAGTCGCTCCTTTAAAAGCCCTTCTCGTTCTTAAATCACAGAGCGTGGATGGAGAGAGAGGAGACTCTCTGTGTGGCAGTGTAGATCTGATTAAAAGCGGAGGCAAAATTGCCATGTGATCTGGACCTCAGGGCAAGTGAAACTGTGTTTAGCCAACCCGTTGCTCTCGGAGCGCCCACACTCAGCTGCACAAAAATGCCGCCAAGCCAAGCCTGAGCAGATGTTTTCAGTTTTTCCAAGTAGCTATTTGGCCTGTTTATTTACTTTGTCAGAGCAGGCTCTCGGGTTTTCAGACATGTTTGTTGTTGCTGTTGCCCAGGTTTTTGTTTTTGTTTTTTTAATATATCTTTATTGATTTCAGGGGGAGAGAGAGAGATAGAAACGATGGGAGAGTCATTGATCAGCTGCCTCCTGCAAGGCCCCGATGGGGGATGGGCCCGCAACCCGGGCATGTGCCCCGACTGGGAATCGAGCCGCGATCTCCGGGATCCTAGGTCGATGCTCAACCGCTGAGCCACGGCCGGCCGGGCTCCTCTGCTTTTCACTCTTCATGTGGCTGAGTGATCTTATCAACTCTCACAGCTTCAGCTACCTAATACTTAGGTGTCACTCGCCTGCATTCCCCTCCATCTTTCTTCAACTCCTGACCTGAGGATACAACTGCCTACTGAACATCCGATCTTGGGCTGTCCGCTGCAAACTCAACGTAATATAAAAACTGAGCTTATCATCTCTCAGATCCTGTTGCTCTTCCCGTTACTCCTAGTCTCCCTTTTCTCGAAATCCATTAACTGCTGCCAGGGATCTTTCTAAAACACCCATCCTATAAGGTTGGCCAGGCACCGCTTTAAGTTTAGGGATCAAGCAATGAGCAAGACATGCCCGACCGGGCGTGGCTCAGCCATTGAGCATCGACCTAGGATCCAAGCAATCAGGGTTCGATTCCCGGTCAGGGCACATGCCCGGGTTGCGGGCTAGGCAGTGATCAATGACTCATCATTGATGTTTCTCTCTATCTCCCACTCCTTTCCTCTCTGTGAAATCAATATATTAAAAAAAAAAAAGCAATGAGCAAGACAAATGAGATTCCTGTTTTCACGCACCTGCTTTCTAAAAATACATAAGTAAACAACTAGAAAAATTACCAGTGGTCAGTTCTATGTGGGGACTGGGAAGCTGCTTGAGATTGGGAGGTCAGGAAAGGCCTTCCTGAAGAGAAGACTTGAACTTCTAAGCTCTGGGTTAAATGACAAAACAGAGGTCTTTAGATTGGTGGAAAGGATTCTAGGTAGGATCATATCACACACACACACACACACACGTGTCAACCGATATTCCTCAAGTGCCTTCCCAAAGTCTTCAGTATACAGTGTAAGTCCAAGCTTGGTAGAATGGCAGGTAAGTTATTCTGGCATCTGGCCAGTTGCTTTCCTCTAGTTTTTTTTTTTTTTAATCATCTGAATATTTTTTCCATTGCTTTTCAAAGAGCATGGAAGAGAAACATCATCGATGTGAGAGAGACACATTGACTGGTTGCCTCCTGCACCAGCCTTGACTAGGGCCAGGGATCGAGCCTGCCACCAAGGCACATGCCCGGAATTGAACCTGGAACCCTTCAGTCTGCAGGATGACACTCGAACCATTGAGCCAAACCAGCCAGGGCCGCCTTCTAGTTTCTTTACATGACATTAACTCACTCAATCCTCAGAACCACCCTGTAAAATAGCAATTAGGCTGGTTGAATTCTGGGGCTATGTCTTCCTCATCTGTCTACCAGGTCACTTTGGCAGTTGGCTCAATAAATATTCATTAAATGAGCAGAGTGTTAGGTAGCAAGGATAGTTGCTTAACAAATGTATAGGTCTAGATCCATGTTGTCCACAGAAATAAACCACATAGGTAATTTACAATTTTCTCATAGCTACATTAGAGAAGTAAAGAAGCAGATGAAATTGTAATAACATTTAAAATATATATATATCTTTATTGATTTCAGAGAGGAAGGGAGAGGGGGAGAGAGGTAGAAACATCGATGATGAGAGTCATTGATTGGCTGCCTCTGCACACCCCCGACTGGGGATGGAGCCCACAACCCAGGCATGTGCCCGGACAGAATCAAACCTCGATCTCCTGGATCTTAGGTCAATGCTCAACCGCTGAGCCACGCCCTGCTGGGTTATTTAAATATCAATTTAACATTATTAACAAAGTTATTAATGAGCTATTTTGCATTCTTTTCATTCTAAATCTTCAAATTCCAGTGTGTGTATTTCACACATCACATCGCAATTTTGACTGGTCCACATTTCAAGCTGCTTGCAGCTGGCTAGTGGCTACCTCCTCAGAGAATCTCCCTGTGCTGACTACCTAAGGCCACCCACCCTGCACCTTCTACCACATGACAGAACATAAGAGAGACAGGACAGCTGTGGACCAGCTCTGACAAAAGATTGCTCACATTCCTGTATACCTGTGGGAATTTAGGATTAATTCCCTGAGAAGCCAGGTGCCATAGACCCCTCGGAAACTCCGCTTCTTACCTGCACATGAATTTTCCCATCTGCTGCCCACAGCCAATCCACTTTTTTTTTTTAATAAAAGTTTATTCTTAAATGTACAACTGGCTCCAAGGCAACACTTCATTCTTGAAAGGTTAAGGTCAGTGGCTCGCAGGTAGGTTAAATAGCCATCTTACAGGGTGAATAAAGAAAAATGGAATTTATTTACGGAAAGGGGATGGGGGATGGGGGACATCCAAAGGGAAGGGCTACACAGCACTGAGCCAAAGGGTACTGGGTCCATGATGGCAGCAAAAATATATTTAGGAAGGTGAGACAAGGAAGGTGCATAGAAGAGGTAACAGGAGAGCCTGGCTGGGCTGCTTTGGCTCACTAAGAAGTCAGAGAAAAAGGGACCCTGGAGACAGGTTCAAGGGATAAGCCTGGACAAACTGCCCATTGCTCCCATGGTTGCAAGTCTCGTGGGGTCCCCTCAGAGGGATGAAGGGGGATGGAGATGGCACTGGCGTGCTCTCCTGGTGGGGAGTGTGCACTAGGTCCTTTGTCTTGAGCGTATTTCTCTCTCTTGCAGGCAGAAATCTTAGGGCAGGTCTGGGGAGTGTCTCAATAGAATATTCGTCAGTTTCCAGGTGTGCTCTTTCAATGTCGTGGCCTCCACTGATTGTTGGTCCGTGCCAGGACGGGGTCATTAGTCAACGTAGCTGGTCCTGAGGCAGCCACAGAGTCACTTGTCTGGTTTTGCTGCTTTTCTGGGCCTGGAGCTAAAATGCATCTGAGGCCTAGATGTTATCTTTAGGGAAGAAAGGTGGGGAGGGGCAAACTGCATGACCAGCGCATGACCAGGGAAGGACAGGTTACCCTGGGGACAAGGTTCTTGTTTTCCCAGTTTTGCCCCTTGCTAGGCATCCGGGGCTTCCTGCCCTGGTGAGTTCTGTACCTGAGTTTCTACACCTGGGGTTCTGTACCTGGCCCATCGTCCTTGCTCTGCTCATGTCCGTCTAACAAATCTAGTTATGGGTGGCAATAGAGATTATGACAGGGACTACAGATGTTCAAACAGGAATGGAACTGAGGGTCACCTATTGCCCCAGGCACAAGAAATAACTCACTTTTGGCCAGATTTATTAATTCCACCTGTGGCAGGAGGGGGGCACTTTCCTGGTGGCCTCAGCTTTCAGCTCAAGTTTCTTAGGCTCCCCTTTTGGCTTCTGCTTGAATGCCTTCTCCTCGCCGGCTCCTTGGGCTGCCTCTTGGGCTGCTTCTGGCCGCCTTCCCTGTCAGACACGGTGCCCGCCGTCCCTTCCCCAGGAGCAGACACTTCTTCCTTCAGTTAGACCCCTTCCCCTTCTCCCGTCCCTTCGTCTATAGCTAATATCCTTTCAGACCCGCTTACATCTTGCTCCCCACATTTGACATATGAAAACGCTTGCAAGCCCTGGCCCCCCCTTACTCAGTTGGTTAGAGTATGGTCCTAAGCCAAGGTTGTGGGTTCGATCTCCATCAGGGCGCATACAAGAAGCAATCGATGAATGCATAAAGACATGGAACAACAAATCCATGTTTCTCTCTCTCAAAAAAAAAAAAAAAAAAA